AGCACCTTGGAGGGCACACGCAACCTGGTGCTGAGGGATCCTCCCTTTGAACACAGGCTCTGCCCTTTCTTCGGCTGTGAGCTTTGACCTGTTATGTGGCCGCTGTGGCATGCATTTCATTATCTGTAACTTAAAGAAAGGGAAGTTAAAGCCTTCCCTTTGGCAGGCTTGCTGCAGGATTACATGCGGGGGCTTCCGTGGAAACTGTGCCCAGGGCCTGTGCCTGTGGAGCGCCCCTCCTCCCCCGGTGCCTCACAAGGCTGAACCCCCAGGACAGTGGCCTCATCTCCATAATGAGGGAATATTCCTCCCACTCATCGCCCCACTCCTGCCCCCACAGGAGGGCAACTTCCCTGAACAGGAGTCTAGGGCAGCAACATCCCTTCTCTTTCCTCTCCCCCCTGCCCCGCCCCCCAGAGGCCCACCAGCTCAGCTCACAGGAAGCATCTGTTATCCCCACACTTGGCACATGGCCCAGGCCCTGGCCTTGTGGAGAGGAGACAGGCCGACCACACTGGGGGTTCAGAAGCCCAGAGCTGCCACACACAGGGCCACTTTACCACCACAGTCCATGTCAGCTGTCGTCAGAGTGAAGCTGTGCTTTCTTCACCATCTGCCTCCTCAGAGATGGGCTCCCTTGAACCCAATGCTGCAGGACTAGGGATTTGGTTTATTTCCTTTCATAGAGCTGTGGTCTATGTCATGGCCTCCCAACAGTGTGCTGAATGCTTCTGGTGTGTGTGCACAAATGAAATCAAAGCCCCACCAGACAGTCTTTACCCTGGCTGCACGGATAGAACCTAATGCTTTCTGACCTCTCCTCTCTCTCTCCCTCTCCCTCTCCCTCTCTCTCTCTCTCTCTCTCTATTTCTCTCTCTAGCTCTCTAGTTAGGACCCACCAGTGGGTTGGGATTGACTGTTTGACAAACCCTGCCCTAAATAAGTTCTATGTCACAGTCACATCTCCCCTGAGCCCCCTGAGGTTAAAGACTCATTCTCTGTTTCCTGGAACCTCCCCTGGGCCTTTGGTGGTGCCGGGAACACAGAGATACTCAGCACCCAGATGTTGATTTACTGTCAGCAGGACTGTGGTAGGAATCCATGACCAGCGCCCATCCTCTGCATGGACTCCAAACATCTGTGAGTGGGTCACTCAGGTGACTGGCATTGAGTTATGTGCAAACCATAGTAATAATGAGAATGAGATCAAGAGTGGAGACAGGATGTGAGGACGATCTGGCTGGCCACCTCTGCTGCAGGAACCACTGATGGCCAGCGCTGATTCAGTTGATCTGGCTGGCTAGGCTGGCGTCCCCTCCTTCCCTCACTGCTCCCTGTGCGTCCCTCCCAAAGCTGCACTCTGATGAAGAAGATGACCTATTCAGATAGAGGAAGACTGTTCTTCGGTCAAGGGCATATGAGTGGCTGCGCTCTCCTGCTAGAATGTCCAAAGAAGCTCTCAAGTTCCATTTGTAGGAGAATATAAGCTCATCAAACTTCCAAGACCAGACATGCCCACATGAGGTGCTGCATGTGGTACTCTGCCTTTCCTAAAGAAAAAATACAAGTGGCAAGAACTTAGTAAATACCTATTCTGTGTTCTGTGCCATGTATATCTTGTCCACACAACATATATAAAATATTTATCATGTGTGGGAATGTCATTTCTAATCCCCACTGCAAGATGGGTACTGTTCATCTTGTTTTACACACACAGAAACTAAAGCCAGTTAATACTGAATGTCTTGCTGAATGCACTTCTGTGAAGCTGGTGGAGCCAAGACTTGAACCTAAAGCTTGTCTTCGCGATGATGTGGACAGCGCAAAGTGCAGTTTGATTCTCGGTTCCACCAAAGGAACCAGGTCTCAAATAACATTCAACAACTGTTCTTGGGTGCCAGGCACACAGCCCAGCGCTGGGGGTAGAGCTGTGAGCAGAGCTCATGTGGTACTGGGGTTTGTAGAGCTCTCTGTCCGGCGAGGGCATTACAACCTTGAAAGGAGCCAAGAAACTTGAAAACCACAGGGCACCTTGGATCTCTATGAAACGATTGAGGTCTCCCATGCCTGTCCAATCTGAGGGCTACCCGGCTACATTTTTCTGATCTCGGACCTACACCCAGCCATAAATAACACCTACCTCTGCCATAAACGCACCCCCTAAGGCTGCCTTTCAATCCCTCAGGTCCAGGTCCTGAGCTCAGAGTGATGCTGACTCCAATCACTAACATATTCACCCTCAACCCCAGATAGGGGTGGGCTTTTATTCCAGGGTCCTAATCTGCTTGCACTCTCACCCATCAACTTCCTGGGGCGGGATGGAGCTCACTCCAGCTAGTCTTTCCTAATATCCCTTATCATCACCGCTGGCTAAAGGGAAACAGGACAAGGGAGTATAGCCGATGAGGGTTCTCACTCCACCACCTTCAGAGGCAAGAGACGAAAATGGAGGCTTTAAGAGTGTTGGTGTCATTGACGGTGAGCCGACATTTAGAGGGAAAGTGAGAGCTAGGGAGAGGAGCTCTCTGCCTACGACACTGCTCCTGTCTGTGCAGCAAACTCCTATTCATCCTTCAAAGGCCAATCCTAATGACCTCCATCGGGGAAGTCTTCTCATACATCAGCAGTTCTCAGCACAAAACAGCATCAGAACCACCTAGAGGCCTCTCAGCACAGATTGCGAGATCCCAGCCCTTGTTTCTGATACAGCAGGTCTGAGATTGGGTCCAAGAATGTGCGTTTCTAGCAGGCTCCTAGGAAATGCTGTTGGTCCCAGGACCAGACTTTGAGAACCACTTCTCACACTCTCCCCATCTTCCCAGACAGGACTGAGCTCCCCTCCTCTGTGCCAGTTCTGACTTCTGTGGCAGTTCCGGTCATGCTGAAGTGTGACCACCCTGGGGTCAATCACACTGTACAGATTCAGCTCCACACACCCGGAGGGGTAGGGCACAGAGATGAGGCATTCTGGCCCACTGTGCTCCTGGGCACGCGTGAGCTCAGAGGGAGCCCTGTTGACCCCTCAGAGACCTCAGATCCCTCCTCCCCTCACCCTGCTGGCCTGCAGGGAGGGCTTCCAGGGTTCCAGTGTTTAGGTGCAAGGTCCCTAAACACAAGCTAAGAAGTCCACCCCAAGTGGTTCACACCAAATACCTCATCTAGTACTTAAGCAGTACTGGGTGGTGCCAAGCACGCTGACCCAGAATTGCCTGAGCTTGAGCTGGATGACCACTGACTCTTTCAGCTATATGATCCAGGGAATACAGTAACACTGTTTTGGCACTCAGATTCCAATCTGTAAAGTGGGCTTAATAATAATTTCTACGAAATGGGACAGCCATGGGGGCTAAACCCAGTAAATGCTGAGGATGGTGCCTGTCACAAGCTAAGCCGTTGCTAGTTGTTTTGAAAAGAGGAAGAACCAGCAATTGCTTCTAACCCTGACTGGGTTAGACATGCTGGCATAAGAAAAGCTGGTCTTCAGCTGGAAAATCCCAAGTGGCAATTCTGGGTATCTAAACTTCTGTGACCATCCATGCCAACCCAAGGAAGGGACCATTCTTTACTCTTACTGAACCTTGAGGTGCTTAATGATTGAATAAGATCTGCCATGCCAGCGTCTGAATCCAGTCACTCATATGCATGCATTTATTTATGCAGTCATACATTCAGTAAATGTTTATTGAGCACCTACTATGTGCTTCATGCTGAATTCCAGGTTGTTGTTGATGCTGAATCTCAGAGTCGGATGCCCCTTGCATGTCCTGCCCCTCCTGCTTCACTTCTCACTACTGTGAAGCACTTAAAAGGCTGAACTGAGCATTCATCCTGCCTTCCTCTCCCTCCTCTGCTCTGACTCCTGCTGTGTGCTCACTGCCTCTTCTGACTTGAGGGACCTCCTTTAACCTGTTCGCCACCTCCAAGCTCTTGGCTGGCTTTCCTTCTCCCCTGCCCCCAGCCTGGAGCCTTCTTTTTGCTCACTGCACTCTCCCTCCTGGCACCACGGCTAGTCCCTTATCAGAAAGAGGCATCTGGAAGCTGCACTGGGGAGAATGACCTCATCCTGCTATAATTAAAGTGACCATCTGAGCGGAAAGGACTATTAGGAAGTAGCCTTCTCTGTGTTAATGTGCGTAGCCATTGCAATGGGAACATGGGATTTCCATGTTAACACCGGGATTTCTGTGGTCTAATAAATCCTCCTCCTCCTTCATCTCCCAGAGGAGAGAGGAAGACACTGAAGGGGCTGGAGGTGATGTGCAGCTCCCTGTTCTGCTTGAGAGCCTAGCCCTGTGGCCACACCAACTAGTCAGTAACTCTGGGAGTGCCCCAGGGCGGCTTTCCCCCAGAGAGCCAATCAGAGACCTCAGAGGGGACTTGGTGAGGAGCCACCAGACACAGGCCCTCCTGGAAGGGCAGCTTCAACAGAAAGGAGAAAGTTGCCCCCCAGAGGAGAGAGTGTGGGCTGAGTCCCAGCCTGCCGCTGTGACCCTGGGCCTGTCTCTCTCTCACTCTTGTGTCCCACTGATGAAATAGGCTAGTAATACCACACACCTCACAGGACTGCTGTGAAGACCGCATGATACGATTGGCAATTCAACCAATACCTGGCATGTTCAGACCCTCCACACGTGGGGGCATTTCACTTCATTATCGTGAGAAAAGCTGAGGCCCAAGGGCAGGTGCTGCTGGCACCAGGCACAGGACTGCCCACTTTCATGCCCACCACGGAGTTCATCTACCTGGTGTGTCTGCCGAACATCTGCCCAATGCAAGGAGCCCGTCCTTCACCCGGCTCAGGGATGCCGGAACCCGGTCCGCCGTCCTCTCTGGGCCGGTCAGTGGCCAGGCAGAGCGAGAAGCCTGTCCACACACATACACTGCCTTCTGTCCACTGGCCCGTTCACAGGGCTGTGCACCTGTGAGCAAGTGGGGCGGACATGCTGCTGAGCATGGAAAGGTTTCCTCTCCCCGCTTAGGCTCTTCTCTTCTGTTCACAGAAATGGTCGAGCCTGACATTTTCATGACGCTGGGTGTGAACATCGCCATCATTGCAGGTGAGCCGTCCAGGGCCTCCAAGCCAGGAGAGTCAGAGGGAGCGCCCAAGGGAGAACCCACCCGAGGCTTCAGAGCAAATGCCTCGGTGAGGCTGAGGCTGCATGAGGGGCCTAAGCCCATCTAAAACTCGCCAGTGGCCCCCTCCCCCCCATCACGCCCAGGCCCTGAGTGACCTGGCCCCCCACCCAGCTTCCCTCCCAACTGCTCCTGAGTCCAAACACATGAAGGGCTGACTGCCACCCACACTCCATGCCTTGGCCCGGTGTCCTCCGGAAGTCCCTCCCTCTTCAGTCCTTTGCTTGGATAACCCCCGTTCCTCTGGCAAACTCATGCAGCCTTCACCTCCAGGGTTCATGCCAGGGCTAAGCTAGGGTGACAAGCAGTGCCAAGTGCTGTCCCAAGGGCTCCCCATGGCCCTGTCTCGTTCCCCCCTAACAGTACATAGGGGGCGGCTTCCAGGGCCCAGCCTTCGGGGCACTTTCCTGACTTTAGTACCAAGTCTCATGCCCCAGGGAACTTCTCACTTGAGATTGTTCTGGGTTTAAAACCACAAGCCCCAAGGCCATGAACTTCTCAGTTTTAGGTAAACCCATGTAGTAGACTCTGCAAAGTATGCACAGAAGTCTGTCTTCCTCAGTAGACTGAGTGGCCCTGAGCAAGTGTGGGTTCTGGGATCCAATCCCAGCCTCAGTCTGCACCAGGCTGAGTGGAAGGAGTGGGGAGGGAAGGGAGATGAGTAACTGATGGGTGCTGATAGGGGTAAGCACACACCAGGCAGGGAGAAGGGTGGGAATGAGCCAGCCTGTCTGGGGCTAGTGTTGACTGGAGCAGCGTCTGCCCTGCCACAAGCCCTGTGCGTCCTGACCCCAGTCCCAAACGCCTGCCCCAGACAGAGCCATGCGTTTGTTCCCCTCTGCAGGTGTGATCGCTGCAATAGCCATCATCCTGATTTGCCTCCTTGTCATCATTCTACGCTACTTGTACGGGTACAAGGGCACGTACCACACCAATGAGGCCAAGGGCACGGAGTTTGCTGAAAGCGCAGACGCAGCCCTGCAGGAGGACCCCTCCCTCCAGGACACAGGTGGGGACAACAGAAAGGAGTACTTTATCTGAGGGGCACCAAGGCTCCTCTCCCCCTATGCCTCCTTCAAGTCCACGAGCAAAGAGGCACCCCACAGCCCCACCCTGCTACCTGGATCACCGTGCAGACCATGAGAGCACCCATCTCATCCCAAAATATGCACCCGACCTGAGAACTCCAGGTGAGAGAGAAACGAAAGGAGGAGGAACTGAGCCAGGAGAGGCCTGATCCAGGCACCCAGGGACGCAGTGATCACCCAGGAGGCCTATCTTTGCTCTGCCAGAGGGAGAAAATCTGGGTCCTCCTGGGCAGTGCAGTTTGTCATCAGCATGGTATGAAAGTCCTTGCTGGGTGGGTGGGCCTGAGGGCTGGGGAAACAAGGATGTGAGTCATCTGTAAGCTGACTGGGGATAATGGCATCAAATGTCAGTCCTTGACATTTGTGGGGAACAGCAGGTGCCAGAGCTAAAGGCACCTTTGTCTCCCATTGATCCAGCTCTAAATGATTGGAAATAAATTTGAAATGTAACCAAGCATTCAGAGTCAAACAGCATTACTGTAATTGTCTGGGGAAAGATAACCACCACCCAGGCCTTGCCTTTCACCTGTGTGACTTTGTGTTTTCCACTACAGTCTGCATGTGTGGGGCTGGGACCGTCCACTTCCAGCATAGATGGTGCAGAGGGCTTCTGGGCCTCTCAGGGAAGGAGGGCGCAGGGACCAGCATTCTTTTCCCCACAAAAACACCAGCTTCAAGAAACAAATGTAAAGGTGGAATTCTCCTCATGAAATAGGTTATCCTGCATGGAGGAGGACACTTGTGGGGATGAGCACTGGGTGTTATATGGAAACCAACTTGACAATAAACTACTTGTAAAAAAAAAAAAAAAAAACAAAGAAAGAAAGAAAGAAAAAAAAGAAATAGGTTATCCTGGCTGTGAGGACCTTGGCTGAAGTGATAATTTTCTAAAGCCTGGTATTAGAGATATTGGTCCTGTTAAATAACTGTGAGTAAACTATCCTTCCCATAATGACCATGGTTGGAGCACAGACTGCAGACTGCCATTGCCTTGGGTTTGGACCCTGGATCCCCCTTCATCAGACAAGTTGGTTGACCTTTCTGGCTTCAATGTTCTTGTCCCTCAAGTGAGTATGACTCCGTGGTAGTGTTGAGGAGGCAACATTTTCTTCTACATTTCAAGATTCTTCTGGCTATTCTAAGAATCAGGCTGACATGAGACAAATTGGCTAGAAAATTCAAAATTAATTTTGTAAGCCCTGGGAATCCACATAAACATGGGTTTCCAAAGACAGGAAAAATGAAGCATATATGCCATCCTGAACTAAGGAGAAAGGGGTAGGGGTCTGGACTTCAAAAGGAAGGAATGTGATTCACTGGAAGGTGAAAAAGGGGAATTATTTGTAAACATATGTTTGCTGGGCCCCTCAGAAACAGTGGGACAGGGAGAGGAATTTTAACAAAGAGACTTTGCTAAACTCCTCCCTCTACTTCCTCTGGTTATATTATAAAGTAATTACCTATGGTGATAATTCCCTTCCTAGAGTAGGTCCTCTATCTAAATTCTTTTAGATAGTTGGGGGAAGGTCAGAGTTTCTTCCTTAGTCGTATGGGCACCAATTGTTTCCAGTGCAAAATAATCTGCATGCTGAAGTGGCCCATCCTGAGGGACTCCTTCTGAACCCCTCTAGTACCAAGGGTTAGGGTTGACAGTGCAAATAGATATGTAAGGTGCTTGGTGCTGTCTTCTGATGTCAATCACTAGTGCTATATATGAGGTGCATGTGTATTGGTTAATGAAACTTCCTCATTGTACCACCTCTTTCCTGAGGAGTAATAACTGCCATTTAAACAGTTGGGGACATCTGGGTGGTTCAGGTTGCTCAGCGTCTGATTTCAGCTCAGGCCAGGATCTCATAGCTCATGAATTTGAGCCCCATATAGGGCTCACTGCTATAGGTGCGGAGCCTGGTTCAGATCCTCTGTTCCCCTCTCTCTGGCCTTCCCCCCCCCCCACCACCACTCTCTCAAAAACAAATAAACATTTTATGGGGGCCTGGATGGCTCAGTTGGTTAAGCATCTGACTTTGGCTCAGGTCATGATCTCACAGTTCGTGGGTTCCAGACTCACCTCGGGCTCCATGCTGACAGCTAGCTCAGATTCTGCTCCCTCTCTCTCTGCTTTTTCCTCACTCATGCTCTGTCTCTTTCTGTTTCAGGAATATATATATATATGTATTTTTATATATATATATGTATTTTTATATATATATATGTATTTATAGATATATATGTATCAGGAATAAATATATATATATATATATTTAAAATGAATATAATGAGTAACAAGGATAGAAGATGAACTTACTAACCATCCTATTTTGTAAGAGTCTTTCTAAGACTCCACAAAGCTGAGCAGTCACTCAGAGCAGGTCCAAGTTGAAGCTTGCAGCCTGGGCTGCCCTCAGCTCCCTATGACTCAGGTTTCTTGAGGCTGCACTATCTATACCGGGGAGTCAGCAAAAAGGTCCCCCATCACTCTCCCTGCCAGGAGTGGCCACAAGCAAAAGAGCTGGAAGTTACAAAGTTTCCATGGGAACAGGGTAGGGAGGCGGGAAATAAAAGGAAAGGAACTGACAGTCTTCAAAAGGTGAGACCTTCCTCTGAGTAACCTGAGTTATCTTGGCCCACTACTTTTTCATCTATAAATCCAAGGGTGTGGCTATGTCCATGTGTCCCAAAACATGATCTATAAAATACCAGCCTGGCAAAATGGTGATAAACCAATTTGAAACAGCCAAAAAGAAAGGGTGTCCCAGGTGCAAATAAATATGTAAAATGACATATTAAGCAAATCTAAAGCCACATGAGGCTTCCTGGCATCCTTAGTGTTCCAATGTGTGCAATGACTCTTGGGGTGTGGGGGGAGGGGGGTGAATGCAGCATTTCCCAAATGTACTTTTTCAGAGACCCCATTGCTTCCCAGAACACCTGTCACAAACTTGTGGGCTAAGAGTCCCTGGAAGACATTTGGGAGACACTGAACTAACCAAATGCCAACATCTTTTCCTGTTGTGACATCACTTCAGGGTTTTGAGAATATATGAACAAATGTCCTCATCTTCCGGGATGGTGAACACAGTCACGGCCCAGTGGGCACAGAGGAGACACCCAGAATCCACATGCAAGCATGCCTTGCTTTTAAAAAGTCTACAGGGAGAGGGTGAGCCCAGAGTACCGAGCCCATTGATGCTTCCATGGGTGTCTGTGCTGGAAAAAGATGCTGGTGGCTCTTCCCCATCCTTCCACAGCAGCCCCTGAGCCCTCTGTACTGACTGCTCTCTGAGAACTGGTCCTGCCTTCCCCTGGCCCTTGCCCTCCATAGTCCACCCAATGTCCTGGAAAACAGTACCAAAGCACAGCCTACTCCCATCCCTCAGGCCCAGCCAGAATGAGATGCAGGGGTGATGTGGATATGCCAGGCTGGGTCATCCAAGGTGGCCCATCCAGATGTCCCCAGGAGGAAGCTGCCACAGGCTAACTGCAGATGTGAGCAAGAGCCTCATACCAATGAGCACACACGCACACACCCCCACAGGCATCCAGTACACACTGGTGTGCAAATACATGGTGCTCCCTCTGGAAAGGAAACACACTTTCTTTATCATTTATCCCTTGCCCAGTGATGCATAGAGTCATTGTGTAGCATGTCTGCAACAAATATGGACTGGGGCAAATGTGCACAACTACGCACACACCAATTCTCCAAATGCCATTAAGGAGGAAGGAAGGGAGTGGAGAGGAAAGGCCAAAAGGGGAGAGAAAACAGGTCAGATGGAGAGAAGGAGGGCTGGAAGAAGAGGGAAGGGGAGCTAGCACACTCTGTACACAATGCCCCTTCTTCATGCGTGTTTCTCTTATCCTCACCACAATCCTCACAAGCAAGTGGCCTCATTCACCCTTCAGACCTGCAGAAACTGAGCCTCAGAAAGCTTGGAGGGCTTTCTGGAGATCACACAACATCTAATGGGCATGGGAGCATTGGAGCCCAAGCCTGTCTGACCAGCAGGCTGGAGAGAGGTATCTCTTCCTTCTGTAGGGAATCAGTGAGGGCTCTTTATGGGAACAGAGCAGGTGGCACCAGGACTCAGGGACTCGGAATGAGCCAGTTCTGGGGTCAGAGCACCCCAGGCGAGGTCTCTGCCAGCAACAACCTGGGCTCTTACACCAACATCCCCATCCCTGGCAAGGGCTGGCCTGGGACAGAGGCAGCTCTGCAGTCCTGGGCTTTTGGCCCTCTGCCGGTTGATTAGCAAGATAAAGACAGCAAGTGTTCTCAGGTTAATCACACTTGATTCATGTGTTAGCACCCAAAAACCTTGCCACCCAGCTCACTCTTATCGAAGAGAAAAATGATCAGGTAGTTTACATCTTGTCAGAACATTCATAAAACATCCGTACTAATCCTTCTTGGATGATTTGTACTTTTAAAAAGTGCTTAACCCCAATATAACGGTATTTAATGATAAAATTTCAGATCCCGAGAGAGATCATGTGTGTGTGTGTGTGTGTGTGTGTGTGTGTGTGTGTGTGTGTCTGAGTATACAGCTGCAAACCACAAACATGAGGGGCATGCCTGGACATAGCAGGCCCTGCCTCAAGAGCTCACCGCTTGGTGGGGAAGATAAACATGTCAGTGTAGATAGCCCCAAAGTGTTACATATTCTATGAGAGAAAGGAAAGAGACAAATGTGGAACACCAAGCAAGGACAGGCCGGCTCCACCTAAGGCATGGGATGGATTAGGAAGCCTTCAGAGGGGAAGGGAGCTTGGGTTGGCCACACGGTACACTAGAGCTGGACCACAGAGGGTCTTGAGCCCCAGGCTAAGAAATGGGGTTTTGTGCCACAGGTCATAGGAAGCTACCAGAGAAACTGGTCACTCTCTATCAAAAATATAAGGCAAGGATCAAATTAAACAGGACGAAAATGCATTGTGGAAATGTACAATGGGGCTTCTACAGGCTTGTCAAGGCTTGAACCCTGCCAATGGGGTAGAGATATCTGTCATCCTGGAGAATGCCCGTTACTCCAGCCACCCCATTACTCAGTCTGAAATTCACATGACTCAGAGCCCATCCTGCTTGTTGGGAAAGGAATCTAATCTTCTCATCAAAAGAAAGGACGGTAGGTTCCAGCCAGCAGTTACATAAATATCAGAGAAGAACTTCTTCAATGGAAGAAGCTCCTGATGGTTTTATCTTGTTTATGTTCCTTTGAAAGAGATGCTGCTCAATTGTTTTCCATTTCTCACCTGAGCTTTCTTATCATCATAGCAACAGAGATGCCTCACAGTTGAGGAGTTTTGTGGGGGGAAGCGGAACAGTGCCATGAATAAAGCTACAGGCACTTTAACATCTGCAATCATGTCAGCATGTTATGGAAAGGTGTGGTTCTGGAATTGGACAGACTTGAACAAAAATCTCCCGTCTAGCACTAACTACCTCTGCGACCTA